TGAAATATTTCCCCTTTCTTTTTTTATCCGTCCCACAAAACACTTCTCATTTCTATTAAAAAGTCACTTTTACCCCTTACTTTTTCATACCCTAACTATCACATCATACCTTTTTACTAATAATCTATCCATCAAATCATACTTTTACCCATCACATCAAAGGACATTTTTGGAAATTCAATACCAAAATACACTCCCTTAAATCCCTCCTAAAAAGCAAATATCCCATGTTTCACGGGACGGAGGTAGTATTTTTTTTTGTTTCAGAATTTTCGCATGTACTACATGCAAAAACATCAACATCAAACTTTCATCACTCAAATTTTTTCCCAATTTTTTTTAAAGTAAAATGATAGAGGTACACCAAAAGTGTACCCCAAACATCTCCACTCCCACTATCATCACACAAAAAAGGCAAGAAAAATTAAAAAAAAGTAAAAAATAAAAATAAAATAAAATGAATGGTAAAGAGTGGGGTGGTGTACATTTGGGGTACATCTTTGGTGTACCCCTAGCATATCCTTTTAAATGATTTCGCATGTAGTACATGCAAAATTAATGAAATGATTTTTTTTTCATATTTCGAAATTTAAAAAATTTATCAAATTAAGAATTTTTTCGATTCTCTCATATTACGAAATTAAAAAAAGAGAGTAAATTCCATAAAAGATCCCCAGTTATAGGCCGTTTTACATATTTAGTCCCTATATATCAAATATTGCTAATTTAGTCCACAATTATTATACTACCTCCGTCCCGCTATATTCGTTCACTTTTGACTTTTGGAATTGTTCATCTAAGTACTTTGACTCATCAAATTTTTTCAATGTGTAAGCCTAAATATAGTCATATGTGATCTTGTTTGATTTGTCTTAACATATAGATTATTAATATATAATTTCTATATTTTTTTAATATACAAATTACAAGATAAAATGGATTAAAGAAGTGTATTGGATGGTGTGTAAAAATGAAAGTGGACAAATACTCTGGGACGGAGGGAGTATCATTTTTTACGAATGGTCCTTTGTTTACGTTTTTCTTAAAAACATGGATAAAATAATAAGCTCTTTGGAATATTATAATCTAATTTTTATTTTTCTCATTTTAAAACAAGAATTTTTCCAAATACTTGTATGGAGTATTTTTTTAACCCAATGTTATTTTAAAAATAAAGAATAACTACTCGATTCAATCCCTCGAAATTTGGGTTAGAGAGGGTGGGTGCGTAGACATTATCCTTACTAAAAGGTAGAGATGTTGTTAAATATATCTTACTTTTCATCTAGACTACTTTACTACATCACATTAAATACAAACAATGAAGGCTTTTGGTTAAACTAAATATATATTAAGATTTTGGTTAATAAAATAAAATAACCTTAAACTAATGTTTGTGTAACCCTCAAGTGAGGTTAATTTGCGTGTTTGTTACCTTCAACTGTCTAGATTCTGCAAATAACCTTAGACTCGATCTAGTACTATTTACTCGGTTAGGTAATTTACAACATCAATTTTGATAAATAAAATTGTTTGAAAGATTTTAAATTCTCCATTATTATTTTTCTACATTTACACCATGATATACATACATACAAACATATACATACATTTACACCATTATATATATATATATGATACTTCCTCCGTTATAAAAATATTTCCTTTTTAAATTTTTCTATGGGGAATTTACTTAAATAGTATTAAAACATAATGATTTTCCCTAAATAACACTACATGTGTTTTTATTCCCAATATAGCACTTTTAGTCATTATGCATTAGTCATTATTCAAGTAAATTTTCGTCATCACTAGACATTATAGACATTATTAAGTGCTATTTAGAGAATAAAACAATTTAAGTGCTATTTAGGAAAATGACTTAAGTTTTAGTGTCATTTAGTGCAAATATTTCTTTTTCTATTTCCAACAAAACACTTTCTTTTTATCAAAAAACCACCTTTATCCTTATTTTTTTATATGCTATCTGTCACATCATATTTTTTTTTCTCTAATAATTTATCCATCACATCAAATACAAAATTGAAAGTCAATTATAATTTGACACTTTTTTATTTTTATATTAAGTCAAACTAGGAACCTCTTTTCGAGAACGAAGGAAGTAAGTATTTTGTATGGACCATGCTACACTTACACCAAAAAATATACCTCATTTGTACACCACAGTTTTGCACAAACATTTTGATGGTTTACACCGACATAAGTGTTGGTGCGTTAATAAAAATTTACACGGACACAAATGTTGGTGCGTTAACAAAAATTAGTTTTACACCAACACAAAATGTTGGTGCAAAACTGTGGGGTACAAATTGTGATACTCCATCCGTTTCTTAAAACCCTTCCTCTTTCATTTTTTTGTTTTTCATTAAAACACTTCTCCTTTCTATTAAAAAACCACTTTTACCCCTAATTTTTCATACCCTACCTATCACATCATACTTTTTCACTAACAACTAAACTATCACATCTTACTTTTACCCATCACATCAAGGGCAAAATTGGAAAGTCAACTACAATTTAACACTTCCTTATTTTCTCCCAAAGTCAAAAGAGGAACTCTTTTGAGAAACGGAGGTAGTATAAATCTTGGGGTACACATAGCATAATCCATTTTGTATTGAATAGGAATGAGAAGGGGTGGATAATTGGACATTTTTAAAAAAAATTAAAAAAAACACTTTTGCATGTAGTACATGCGATCTTCCAAGTGGGAAATTTAGGGTTCCACTTAAGGAATTAATGTATGTGCTTTTTCCAAGTGAGGGAAACCACCCCCTTCTACTCCTACCGGGCCTACGACGTGTCGCGGACCATTTGTACCCGACCTCAGTGAGAACGCAGGGCCCTTTTTCAACTTCGCGTGGGGCCCGTCCAATCTAATTCTCCCCTGGTTTCCCATTTGGCCTGCATTCGACTTTTTAATACACATATTTTTTTCCCAGAAAATAACTTAGGATACCCTCTATTTTGAGGTAATGATTTCCAAGTCTCACATTATCTTAAATATTTTTTGAAATACCCTCAATTTTTAGTAAGAATACTCAGGTCTCACATTATGCAAAATATATTTAGGGGCCTTTACAATTTGTGATTTTATACTTCGAGATACATTCCGTCCATTTAGGTGTTAGGATTAAAAGTTCTTTAACTTTAAGAAACTGAAACACTATATTTAGATTTAATGAAATAGTGATTATGAAGCTAAGATTTAGTAATTGTCAAAGTACCAAAATTTTTAATTCTTACGATCATACTGAATATACCCAAAGAGGCAAAGAGTACATTACTACTAATTTTAAGAGTAAATTCCCAAAATAGTCCTTCGTAATAAGGAGTTTTTCCAAATTAATCTTCAATAAGTTTTAATTACCTACGTGGTCCTCTATAATTGAGATATATTCCCAAAATAGTCCTTTGTAATAAGGTGTTTTCCCAAATCAGTCCTCAATAAATTTTAATTACCTATGTGGTCCTCTATAATTGAGATTTATTCCTAAGATGGTCCTTCGTAAATAATGTTACTCAAATGAGAATTAATTGAGGGTATTTTTTCTCTGTTAAATTTAGAATCAATTCTTAAAATAACCATTTATAATGAAGTGATTTCCCAAAATGGGTTTTCTAATTAAAAATGTGTATTTGATTTGAAATTTAATTTTTTTTAAGTTTTATAAATGTATTTGGTTTATCTCTATGTAATAAGGTATTTTTCCAAATCAGTTCTCAAATGAGGATTAATTCAGAAATATTTTGGTATTTTGATCATCTAAATTTAAAGTATATTCACGAAACATTCATTTCTGTACAACTAAATGTAAAATTTAAAAAATACATTGATTATAAATAATTTATGAATTATTTAAAACTTAAAAAAATCTTTTAAATTTCAAATCAAATACACATCTTTAATTATAAAAACCATTTTGGGAAAACACTTCATTATAAATGATTATTTTAAGAATTAATTCTAAATTTAGTGGATAAAAAATAACCTCAATTAATCCTTATTTGAGTAATATTATTTACGAAGGACCATCTTAGGAATAAATCTCAATTACAGAGGACCATGTATATAATTAAAACTTATTGAGAACTGATTTGGGAAAATACCTTATTACAAAGGACTATTTTGGGAATAAATCTTAATTATAGAGGACTACATAGGTAATTAAAACTTATTGAGGACTAATTCGAGAAAATCCCTTATTATAAAGGACTATTTTGGGAATTTACTCTAATTTTAAAGACCCCCGTAGCATATTTTAAATAATGGGGGGTCTGAGAATTCTTACCAGAAAATTGAGGGTACCCAAGAATATATTTCAGATAATGTGGGACTTGACATTCATTACTACAAAAATCAAAATCGATAGTACCCCGAAGTAATTTTCTGCATTTTTTCCGGTAGAGCTGAGCATGTATGACTCGGAATGAAAACAATAGTTTTTTTAGCTCACATCCCATCTGGAACTCAAGAAAATACATGGGCAATTTTCCTAAATAGTACTATAACATAATGACTTTTTCAATGTAGTACGCTTTTTTATTTCCCAATGTGGTACGACTAGTCATTGTTCACTGGTCATTGTTCAAGTAAATGTCCACCACTGAATATTGTTTAAACTAAATGTCCACCATCACTAAATATTATTTTAGTCATTAGATATGATTCAAGTACTATTTAGAAAATATAAAAGTTTAAATACTAAACTGGAAAATAACATATATTTAGTTCTATTTACTGTAAATTTCAAAAGAAAGTACATTCGATCGGATATACGCAAAGGTGTACCCCATTTGTCCCACACCCCTTTCTCCACCACTCAATTTTATTTTATTTTTATTTATTTAATTTTTTTAGTCTTTTGCCTTTTTGTGTGGTTATGGAGGGGGTGGGAGACAAATGGAGTACATCCTGACATTTCTCTAAATTATTGCTTATCGCGTGTGTCACAAACAATGTTCTTAACAAACTTGGGATGATAAACATAATTTTTGTTCGTCCACGCCATTATTGCACCTAATTAAGATAGTACTTTCTCGATTTTAAATGTTTTTCACATTACGCAAAATGAATTATATTGAATGATTTGTCTTATTTAAAGACTTTTATAAATTCAAAAAATAGAATTAATATATTTAAAAACTAGGCCATAAAATTTTCAAAACAAGATTTGATTAAAATATTTTTTAAAAAAATTGTTTGTGCAACACGATACAAAAAAAAGTAGGTGGTCGAGATTTTTATTTGTAAGAGTATTTGTTTTAAATATAATTAATTTTGAATACTCCCTTCATCCCAATTTAAAAAAGTACTCCGTACTTATGAAAGCTCTTAATTATAGAAATTATATATTAATAATCTATATGTTAAGACAAATCAAACAAGATCACACATGACTATATTTAGGCTTACACATTGAGAGAATTTGATGAGTCAAAGTGCTTAGATGAACAGTTCCAAAAGTCAAAAGTGGACGAATATAGCGGGACGGAAAGAATACTTATTTTGCACATATGTAGGTCCATAATCAATCTTAGGTCCACCATAGAATTTGTAAGCGAAAGCTTACAAATGAAATTAGGTAAGCGAAAGCTTTATTTTACGACAAGCTAAAAAGTAAAACGTAAACTTCATTTTGAAATGAATATGATCTCTTATTCATGTTGATAGAGACTATCTAGTTTGAATTTGTAGTGACCATTATATTTTTCTCTGGCAACCAACATTCAAAACAAAAGTTGTTTCTCCATTTTGTTACCCACACAGTTTTTTTTGTTATGATTTTGTTTGGAATGGTTTTTACCACTAGTTTGTGCACACTTCTCTCCACACCACACCAAGGAATGCCATCAATCTCCATAAAAACATGTTTCTCCTTCACGATCTTTTTTTCTTTTCCCTTCATTTTATGGCATTTTGTGTGGACATTTTGAGGCAACATGGAAGAGAAAAAAGAGTTTGCCACCGTGGGACTGGTTCCCGGCCTCCACCGCAACGAAATATTGGTGTGCCAATTCGCCGCTAGGATCAACACTCACGGATGCGTGTGGGAAGGCAGAGACGTGCTCCCTTTCGCATTGCCGGTGGTTTTTGCACAGCTCATTGACATCTTCATTGTCACCAGAGCCATTCACTTCCTCCTCAACCCTCTGCACCGGATTATTACTCCCGGCTAAGTTTGCAGTCACTTGGATTGGACATGAACTTGATCTCTCCAGGGAGTGGAATGGATGCAGCCATCGTGGAGTCCCTTGTCATCTTGGGTTATATCGGAAAGTTCGCCGGAGCGTTTATTCCGGCAGTCTTTGCCGGATTTTCGATCACCGATGCCACGTCACTCTCCCTCGTCATGTGTTGCAAGGGTATCATAGAAACAGCTGTCTTCATAACAATGAAGGATAACGCAGTATGCATAAACAATCTTCATTATCCTGCTATTCTATCTCTTATCTGCCTGGTTTTAATAATGAGGAAATAAAATTTGATTTCTTTTGCAGATGATCAGACAGACACTACTGTAGTGGGATCCAACTGGGCTGTTGTTGTTTCTTTTGCAGATGATAAACACCGAAGCATTGGGTCTTCTGCTATGCACGATGTTGGTCGTGACCGGAGCGGCGACGCCCCTAGTTTGCTACCTATAGATCCATCAACCAGGTACTTGGGTTACCGGACGAATTCCATTATCGACTCGGATCCACACAGTGAGCTCCATGTGATGGTGTGTGTCCACGACGAAGAAAATGTACTGGCAATCATAAATCTCCTTGAAATCTCCTGCCCAGGGCAAAATAGTCCCATTGCCGTGTCTGTCCTTACCCTGTCAGAGCTCAAAGGCAGGGCTGACGCCCTGTTGTTGTCGGGTGGGAAAGGCTGTAGGGGTCCTGATTGACCGCGGAAAAGTTTCTTAATACACGTCTCTTCACCTGGGATACAACATGTTTCGCGTCACGGCCCTCTTCTTTGGAGGGGCAGGTGATCGCGAGGCCCTGGCGTACAGCTCCCGGATGGCGGACCACCCAGGGGTTGACTTCTCCTTAGTGTGGATTTGGAACTTGAGGGACAAGAAACTAGGAGAGCCCGAAAAGTCGAAGGACCTTGAGATGGTCCACAAATTCTAAGCCATGAAAGACCGAATCGGGTTCAAGGAAGAGGTGGTGATAGACACGGTGGACACAACGAGAGTGCTTCGCTCGCTGAGGGGTAATTGTGACCTTTCCATTGTGGGGAGATACCACAACCCAACTTCGGAGGTGACACTCGGCATTACAGAGTGGTCCGAGTGCCCGGAACTCGGAGTGATCGGAGACATGTTGGGGGCGATGGATTTCAAGTTTTCGGTGTTGGTTGTGCAGCAGCTGCCCAAGGGACGGCGTCTGAGGACGGCAACACAACATTGCAGCCTTTAAGATGTAGCAGTGTTCATAGTCAAAGTAGTTCAATATCCCAGCCCAATAGCTCTAGGGTGGCGCATCAAGAACCTTTAAGTCCTTAGAACAAAATCAGTCAGTAAATGTAGGCTAAATTCCCCAGTTGTTTTGCAAGATCTGTACATTCTATCAATTAGATTCAACCTGAGGTTTCAAATCAGGGTTGAAATGAACTGTTCAGTTCAGATCAAATGTTTAGGTTTGAAACAGAAAAAGACAGAACAGAGTAACAATCAAGTTTCACATAAAATCAGAGTGAAAAGTTTGACAAAGAAGAAGGATGGACAATTCATCAAACAGAAGATGTGCATTAGGTTTAGAACAATTTTCAACATAAACCGAGTTTGAAAGGTTCAATCATGAATTGGAGAAGTGGTAATAGAAGATGCCTGTCGTATTCTTTGAAGCCTCTGGATCCACTGGCTCTCCGGGACCTGAGCCGCCCAACCAGGAGGTGCTCCGCCGAACGAGATTCCTCGCATGGCCTCCCTGATTCTGACTGCATTCTCCGGTGTCAGCGAAGCACTGCGACGACTCTCGTCTTCTCTAAGAGCTCTCCGGAGCGCAGATTCAGAAGCGGCCCTTATCCTCTCCTCCTCCTCCTCACCGTCCTCATCGCTCAGATCCAGAGACGAAACTCCGTTCTCAAGGCAGCGCGCGTACCCGTTCGGCAAGCGGTTAAAGTTAGTGCCGGATTGATCTCCGTTCTCGGTACGAACATATGAATGTTGATCGGAAGTCTGATCGTCCTCATCCCCGTCGGCGGAGATTGGCTGGTAGTACATTGACGCTTCATCGGAGGTCGTATCCGAATCACTCTCGCCGGAGATATCTGTCGTAAAGATAAAAAAGGCTCAATTAAAGCAAAACAGTAAATTGATCGAAAAGGTTAATCCGCCTTTACCTTCAACGAAATCAGGCTGGGTTCTGGACACGGCGTTCATTTGGCCGCTGCTTGAGAGCTACCCGAGAACAAGATAAACTGAATATGTATATGGATCCAATACACGTTTATCCCAAAAGCGTGAAGGAGAGGAAATTAAATTTAATCCAAAATCAATTCTTTAGAAATTCAAATTTCAGTTTGAATCAGATTCTTCTAGTTTAAAGTTAAAACAATTACAAATTCATACATCTTCTCATGTCATAAATTCAAACATTATTTTTCTTTAGTTCATAACTTGTAATTAAAGAATGATCTTCTGTTACACAACAATAATTTCATACAAATCTATCTACTTCCGTTACCGTCTTTGCCAACTATAATGTCGTTGGAAGAGGGTCCGGCTGCATTTTCCGTGCGTTAAACGTTTGACACACTACACCTAACGTCCTGATGAAGCCGATGGGACGGTATTTAATGCCCCGGGCATTAAAAATCGGAAAACACCCCAGGGTGTTAGGTGTATTTTCAATGCTCTAAGTAAAGAAAGTTAATAAAGTTTGGAACTGTGAATTAGTAAATAAACAATTTAATTTGAAACGAATAGAGTAAGAATTTAAAAAATAAAAAGTGACCGTTTAAATTTATGTAAAGGAAAAAGAAATATAAAAAATGACTCAATATTAAAAAATGCTATGTGCACACCAACTTACACATTATCCCTCTCCTAGAGTCCTGTTGTGCATCTAGCATTACTCAAGAAATATGGTAGACTACACACTTAATTCATAGTTCAGTAGAATAATTATTTTTGGACGGATTAAAAAAACTTTAGACGATTTGGTCAAATAGAGTAAAATTTATTCTTTAGAGGTTGTATAGTTTGCTGTGTGACTTTTAGTCAAAGTTTATAAATGGAAAAGTCTCACACTATTTTTGCCCTTCAAGCACTGGCAGAAGATAGCACATCTTATTTCATGGGTTTAGTCTTGATTATAAAAGTTTAATGACAGGGTTTACATCACTCTCAGTTTTGCTTGTCAAAAAATCAACAAATAAAGTTGCTCATTTTTTAGCTCGATCATTTAATTTTGGCGCTTCAAGAACTAAGAAGATAACGCCTCGTATTTCATGGGTTTAGTCTCGGATTATAAATGTTTATAAATGTTTAACGACAGAGTTTACATCGCTCTCACTTTTGCTTGTTAGAAAATCAACAATAAAGTTGCTCATTTGTTAGCTCGATCATCTCATTCTATTTTTTATTCTTGGGAATGGATTTCAAACCTCACTACTTTTATTTGTCATTATTTGAGTTTTGATAATTTACATTAGTAGAGTACCATATCCTATATTTAAAAAAAACATTATTTTCCCATTATTTCGTCTTTTGGTTGTCTCTTCTCAAAGCTTGATACACGAGCTTTCTTTGTCCGTGCAACAATAGTAAAAAGATAAAGAAAATATATTCCATGTCGTATCTTTATAGGTAAAACAAGTGTTTTTTTTTGTAAATTTGGGAAAAGAAAACACGCTACATAACAACGTCACACATGATTGGAATATCCTGAAATAGTGGGATAGGCGATACGAACCGCGTCATCACTTCAAGATTAAAATCATCTGGGTAGTATACCAAAATATCAATTGGGCAAGTAATAAAACATAAGTTAACTAGAACAAGTATATCATTTTTCATATCGGGAACATACCATATGATCATCTAAATATAAACCGAAAATCCTACCGGACCTGTCTTGAAGCGAGCCAACATGACTGTTCACCATACATTCGAATGTATGACTTGTACATTTGAATGTAGAACGCGGTTTATGCGTGAATCCATCATGTCTGATATGGAAACGTTCAAATGTTTCAAAACTACTTTTGAACGTATCGGGCTTGAAAGGGTCGCTAGAACTAGAAACTCATACATTTAAATGTTACAGTTGTATGAATAAGGTTTCTAGAAAATGTGCTTCTTGGTTTGAAAAATGAAAGCCATGTAGACTCAAAGTTGCACATTGACTGTAGTTTGTATACTGTGTTGTGAAAAATGATTGAAGAGGAGAAATAACAAAGCCAATGTCTCCCTCAAGAGAGGGATTGCAGGGCAATACATATATAAAGAATTTTTTTACTAAAGGACTCGCAACAAAAAGTGATCCGCGTGTGAGGAGAGAAAAAAATGTTATCCTTTTACAACAAAATTTTAAAAAAAAAAACTAAGAAAAAATAGGTTGTCCTTTTACAACAGAATGTAAAAATACTACAAAGCCCCAAATGATTTGTTGGCATATAACACCATCTTTTGAAGGCACAGAACAACTAGCTCCAGTCTAATCCTTCTTTTTTTAGATGAACTTATTGAAACTCTTGAAAGCTACCTCTAAGTGTCATTTACCACCAATGGCACAATCCACACCTCGCCACCCAAATCAGAAACGCGAATCTTACTTTCTATTGCCCAAGTGGCCCCACGGTGTGGTTCGGACAAACAAACAAGTCAAATGCTGAGGAGGCATAAGCAGAGCATTACCTGGGGATTCTTAGGTGTTGTTGATGTTGTTGGTGGCATTCAAATCTTGAAAGAAGGATTTGGCGGCTTCATAAGTGGACCAGCAAATTGCAGCAGCGGGAGCGTGGAAGAGCATCCTCGGCATCCAACCCCTCATCAGCCCACTATACCCATCTTTCTTTATTATTGTCTTGAAGACATCCCTTATTGAACCACTCTTGAATCTGTCACACCCACACACACCCTGCAAATAATAATCCTGTCATGTTTCTTTTCTGGTATGAAACATAGCAGCTCAACATGAATGGAACAGTACAAGTTTTATTAGCTTATGCAGTACACGCATTAAGGCTCTGTTTGATAATGCCAGAAAAGGCAGTAGTTGAAATTGTAGCTGGAGTTGTTGAATGTGTTAACCAGTCGAACAATGTTTTTTTAAAAAATATACTATGTATTTAATAAATTCATACGTATTCCACATAGGATAGAAACATTGAGAAGAAAGGATTAGTTATTTACAGTGCAATGGAAGATTTTATGCGCATTAACAGTACGCAACTTAGGCAATCATATGAGAACCACATATATTTACAACCCATTTTTTATATCCATGTACTTAATGGCAATCATGACCTTAAAACTCAACTTCCACCCCATATTCAAAGAGAGGAAAGCCTTTCTCTAGTTTATGTTATGAATACAAACCCCTCATAATTGCACCCAAGAACTACATTTTCCATGATAGCTTCACTATATGACCTCATGAGTCATGAGACCAAACTAATGTGAACTTCTCTTCTCCTTAAGAGTCTGTTTTGAACCAAGAGGACATCAATTGGAAAATAGGAAAGTGAATCGGGATATGAACTGGAAGTTGGAAGGAAAGAAAAATTGGTGAAAAATAAAGATTGACTCTAACAGTAAGTCTGGTTAATATACATTCGTTCAAGCCCGTCCACGTTAATATTCGAAAGCAAGAACTATTGTTGGGCTTTAAGCAGAAACATCATGAGTGCTAGAGTAAGTTAACTGCAAGCAACTATCATAAACAATGGTGGGTTACTTCTCATCTACATCTGTATAGATAAACAACGATAAGTGTGTATTTGGTTGGAGGAAAGGGAAAATGATATACTCCCCTTCTTTGGTAATTGGTACAAAGCATTTTTAGGGTAGGAAGCCAAAAAATTTCCTTACACTCCTCCTATCCAACCAAACACACCCTAATAAAACATCTCCAAAGGAAATTTTAAAGTAGAGTGAATTGTAAAGAAAAACAAAGAATAATTAAAGTACCTGACACTGCAACTGAGTTTTAACCACATCAAGTGGAGTGGTAATCAAGGCAGCTGAAACCCCAGCAGCCGCCCCTGCAGTGGCATGGACCACCAGCCTCTCATCGCTGGCAATCTCCGGCGAAAACTCTAACAAACCCCTCTTCGCCGCCTCATAAGTGGTAAAGTGCACTGCCGTGAAAGGGGCATTCATAAGAACTGTGGTCTTATATGAAGCATAAAAGGCCTTAACCCCTTCCTCTCTCAGCACCACCCTCACACAGTCCATTACCCCCTTATACTGGCTGCTGCTCAGCTGAAGCCTCTGTTTCACCATGTCCATGGGGGTAAAGACTGCGTCACTGGCCACTGTGGCACACACGCCGGAAGCCGCGTGGGCGGCAGGGTTATTGGGCTTCCCGCCGGAAAACGCCTCCTTGCAGAACTCATAGACGGAGAAGTACACGGCGTGGGCAGGGCCAGCGCCGAGGCCCATTGCTCCGATTCCGCGGTAAAACCCAGAAACGCCCTCCGATTTGAGAATGGACTGGAGGGCCTGGCGTATCCCGACGGACTTGATTGGGCAAGAGACTAGGGCTTGCATTCTGGTCTTGACCGTATCGACCGGGAACATGGCCATGTGCTCCACCATGCCGGCGATTGACCCGGCCACCATGAACTGCCAATAGTGCAGCCCGTCGTGAACCGGCGAAACAACAATCTCCGGGTGATAATCCGGCGGCTGGGGGATCGGTATGAGGTCCGGCTGCTGAAACTTCGCAGGTGCATCGGTGGCGGTGGCCATGGGATAAAGAATTGGTGGCGGGGGGGAAAAGTAAGCAGATTTACAGAAAGCTGTACTGATAATTCGGGTCGGATGCGGGTTTTAATTGTTCTACCGATCTCCGCCGTAAAAACCTAAAACAGCGGTGGATGTAAAAGGAATAAATGTCCACACGGGGTTAAGATTTGGGCTTCGCCGGCGATTGCATGATGCAATTTGGGAGGACGGAGAGTGAAGATGGTGATGATGAATCAAATTCGGAAGGTTTAAGGAGGCTTGTGGTTTCTTCGGGCGGACCATAAATTGGATTAGGGTTCCAACTTTATGGGGGAATTGTAGTGATCAATAATCGTTCTTACAAGTTACAATACTGTTACTTTACATTTGCAAAAAAATATAGTGTGATTATTGTACAAAATTATAATGTACAAAATGGGGTATTCCAAGTAGACATCATATTGTCCTTATTCTTAAATATTACTTCTAAATACCAATGGCTTCACTACCTCCTTCACGCCTAATTTAGTCCGCCGACACCTCATCGAAGGAGCGTAATTCTTTGTTGCCTGATGATCATGGCATGGCTTCTTCTTTTTTTTTTTCAATCAATCAAAATAATTCACATCTTCACTTCATTGATCACTTCACTTTTTTGTCATCTCTTTCATTCAAATCGAACAACACGCATATTTTTATTACTTCACGTCATATCTTTTTATACCCTATCAAGTCTCGTCAGGTATCTTCACTTCATCGATCAGTCCACGTCATATATATATACACACACACACACACATACATACATACATACATACATACATACACACACACACACATACATACATACATACATACATATATATATATATATATAGAGAATATTTTTATTGATTTAATAACGCAGAAAGGGAAGGGTTACATCTACTATAATGGCTCCCTTAACAGAAGGGGGAATAGACGAAAGCGAAGTGCATTGAGAAAAGAAATTTTTCTTGCTAGCCCATTTGGCTAGATTATGTGCTCCCATATTTCCTTCTCTGTAAATGTGACGCAGATTGTTTCCATCTTCTTGGATTGCTCGTTGAGCACGTGTCCATACCTCTCGATTAACTCCCGGGATTTTGTTTCCATGCATTGCTTTTGTGATCGTCTCTGAGTATGTGTGGGCCCAAATCTTGTTGGAGAAGCATTTGGCCCAATTTAGTCCAATAAGTAAAGCGCATGCTTCTCCTTCTAGAATATTGCTTGCGTTGATGCTCCATGTGCTGGCTGCCATAAAGTTTCCATGACCGCTGCGTAGGACAGCTCCCCCTATCATCTTTGAGTTCGTGAATGCTACATCTGTTGAAAGATGTAGACCGTCTTCTGGTGCTTGCTTCCAATGGTGGATTTTGATCTTATGTGTGCCGATCTGAATGGGAGAGAGCTCTGTGGGAAGACGCTAGGCGCCATACCTCATAAGCTTGCTAGGTGCTCCCCCTAAAACCCATGATTGTAACTGCCCTATACAGTCTAGAATTAATTTGTGCTTTTCCTTCGCAGTGTTTTCATTTAGACGAAGATTTCTCTCCTTCCAGATTTGATGAAGTATAACCCATGGTGAGATACCTTTGATCCAGTCTTCGAGCGTCTTGAGATTGTAGTTGCTCCACCATCTTTGCACGTGAGCTCACACCCCATGCGTTGTTTGCCATGGAATTTTGAAGATCCATTCAAAGTAGTTCCGTGCATAGGGGCATTGAATCAAAGTGTGAAGTGCTGAGTCTTCATTCTCCTTGCATAATGGGCATTGAGTTGGGAAGGATTTAATCCCAAATTTTGTTAATGCTGTGGGAAAGGGTAGTAGGCTAAAGTATATTCTCCACTGGAAAAAAAGCAATTTTAGGTATTTGTTTTGTTTTCCAGATGATTTCCATGTCTTCGTTTTCCTCTCATTCTTCTTGTGCTTGGATTGCTTGGTATGCTTCCTTTAGTGTGAACTGATTGAGGTGAATAGGTCTCCATTGTATGTCCTCATCATCAGCTGCAAAAAAGATATTAGTAGCACACTTGTGTATAGAACAAACTCTTTTCCATATAGTGGAATCTGTAATTTTGGGAATGAAGTTGTTATTTCTCGTGTATCTAGTTCTCATGAACTCACTCCATAGAGAATTATTTGCATGATAAGTCCACCACAATTTGAGGCTATAGGCTTCTTGTAGAGTGGCCAAGGACCTGACTCCCAGACCTCCCTTATCTTCCAGCATACAAATCTTATCCCATGAAGTCCAATGATACTTGTCTTTTCCTTTATTTTCTCCCCAAAGGAAAGAGCACATCTTTTTGTTGAGGAGGGTAGTGACAAATTCAGGGATTTTGTTCACAGTGAGGGTATGGAGGGGTATAGAGTTGAGGACGTGTTTAATAAGAATCAGTCTACCACTAGGAGTGAGGTGTTTTTTGTACCACTAGGAGTTGAGGACGTGTTTGATAAGAATCAGTCTACCATTATCCATATAGACACACACACACTAGCAATGGCACGCGCGTTGCACGAGATGTGGTGCCCGAAATTAGCTTTGCCGTTTAGCGTGTTACTATTATATTTTTGGCATTGTCTTTTCCATTTTTCAATCATATGTCAAGCATATTTATTTTCCTATTTAATTTTGTTTTCATCACAATACTATTTTCGTTTTGTAGCTTTATCTATTTGGTAAAAGATTTTTTTTAGAGATTTTGATAAAATAGAGTTTGTGATAAAAGATTTTTTTAGAGATTTTTCCAGATTAATCTTTCCAATTTTCATGTTTAAACATTTTTTTGTAATGGCATTTTGGATAAATCTATCCAAAATTAGTCTCTTTCAAATACTTCTAAAAATGAAAAAATTCAAAGCGAAAATATTAAATCCAAACAAAGGATGTTATAAGTAGCTGAATTCGAAATAGTCATCTCACAATACTGAAAGAACAATTTTAAAGACCTATAACAATTACGGTGTATGGGTAATGTTGGTATTAAAAAAATATACCTGATTTGGGAATATAAGTGGAAGGATAAAACTAACGGTGTATGAGTAATGTTGGTATTAAAAAACAATGTGCATGATTTAAAGCGTAATGTACCAATTTTTTGGATGGGAAAAGAGCATCTTATTAAGGGGTACCAAATCCTCTTTCACATTTATATAATATAGGAGATATATATAATCAACTGAGAATGTGATGTAATGAAAGAAATAAGAATGCATCTCGTGCATTATATCTAAGCTCTAAAGGCTTGAAAAATTAAAAAAAAATGAAAAATTCTGTAAAAACAGTGGCATTATGGTAAATAAGTTGAACTTTTAATTTTATTTAAGTAGTGTTTTTTTATACAAATTCTCTCTGAAAGAAAAGACTTTTCAAAGTTTTCTATTTTTTATATTTATTATTGTTAAAACATCCTTCCATAGCATCAGATTGACTCCGTGGCCCAATGGATAAGGCGCTGGTCTACGAAACCAGAGATTCTGGGTTCGATCCCCAGCGGAGTCGATTTTCTTTTCCTTCTAACTCTTTTTACTCATTATTTGCGTGCCATACTTGATACAGTGCCATACCATTTTTCCCTAATTAACCCTTCCACATACAATTACGGAGTACTAGTAATTTAATACTCCGTGCTACTTTCTCCAATTAAAGTTTCTCCAATTAAAGTTAATGATTAATGTCAAACAGAGTCATAATTTAAAAGATATGATATATGAACAAATGCTACAATTATGATATAGAGTTATTAGTGCTGGAATATGATATTATATGTGTGAATTTATGTAGAAGGAAAAGAAAATAATGTGAATCAGTCAATGTTAACATTAAAAATTATGAAAAATTTGTTAATACATAGTAACATGTATGTCATATTTGGACACCCATGAATAGGGGTGGACACGGTACGGTTCCGGTTCCGGAACAGCCGGTTCCGGTACCGCCACCCCATGTCACCGGAACCGTCACCGTGCCGGCCGGTACCGGTTCCGGTTCCCGGACCAGCGGTTCCGGTACCGGACCGGCGGTTCCGGTACCGGACCGGCCGGTTTCGCCCCCCCCCTATTTTTTTTTTTTGCTTTTTTTAAAATTTTTAAAGTATAAAATTGTAAATTTGCAATTGTTTAAGGAAAGAATGAAATAAAAAATCTAAAAATGTAGTTGTTATTTAAATATTTTAAATGAATAATACACTAACTGAAGAACAACCACATTTAATATCCTGACGGTTCAAAAAAAGCGACGAGGTAAAGAACCGTAAAGAAACCCTCGAAGGAGCTTATACATCGCTCACCTAAAAAAAACTAATTACATATTTACATTAACATAAAAAAAATTATAACTTATTCTTCAGAACTCGGACTTCCATCTGTTGTTGCATTCATGTAATGCTCCGATTCAAGTTGGTACGTTGACTCTTGAGCTCGACGTCTTGCCAAGAGCCAATCTTGGTTGCAAACAAGTGTTTCAAGAGATTGAGCGCTAAGACAACTTCGAAAGTCGGTTAGAATGTTGCCG